CAGAAGAGCGCTAAAATGTCCCTGTTTTGTTCCCTGATCTGGAGAAACAAATGCGAAACCTGTCCGACAGAGAACTCTCCCAATTTGGAACCTCTGGATTCCCACAGGTTCAACTAAGTATACATTTACAAATAAAAATGAGCAAACACAGGAAGAACAACACACCATAAGGAAACGTTCAGCAGAGAATATAAACACATTTAGAACCCCAAAGACGTGAGATCCTGGAATTACTGGCTACAGGCTATAAAGATAACTATGTATGAAGTGTCCCCAAATAAAAACAGAAACCAAAGAAAAAGAGGAAGTCCTGGCCGGGCGCGGTGGCTCACGCCTGTAATCCTAGCACTCTGGGAGGCTGAGGTGGGCGGATCATTTGGCTCTGGAGTTCGAGACCAGCCTGAGCAAGAGCGAGACACCATCTCTATTAAAAATAGAAGGAAATTCACCAGGCAACTAAAAATGGAAAAAATTAGCCAGGCATGGTGGTGCATGCCTATATAGTCCCAGCTACTCGGGAGGCTGAGGCAGGAGGATCGCTTGAGCCCAGGAGCTTTGAGGTTGCTGTGAGCTATGATCATGCCACTGCACTCTAGCCAAGGTGACTGAGTGAGAATAAAACAAAGTGTTTTTTTTAAAATTAGCATATACCCAATAAAAAAATCTCTACACACACACACACACAAGATGAAAGTGAATCATAAGATGTAATTCAACATACACTTTCCTCTGTTCATAGATCAAAGAGCCAAAAGAAAAGAATGGCAAATTACAGCAGAAGACTTGACAACACAATTTGATAAAATGTACAAGTATAGAAATTGCACCAAAATAGTAGAGTCAGACTTTCCAAGAATATATAAATAATTGCAAAATTTACACAATAGGCCATAAAACAAGTTTCAATACATTCCCAACAGGTGGAATCACACAGATCACTGACTCCTGACCAAATGAAATTAAAATATTTTAAAATTATAATTTAAAAATACACTTCGAAATTCATGAGTCAAAGAAAAGCTTGTAATGAACATTTTAAACACATTTAGAAGCATACATTAATGAAAATAATACATATAAAACCTGTGAGGTCCAGCAATGGAATTTTTGAAAATAAAGCTTACCGATACTGACAAAAGTCCCGAATGAACGAAAAAGATAGTGAATTGGTAGTTAAAACTTTTTCCTCAAAAGAAAACTGTAGGCCCAAGTAGTTTTACTAGTAAGTTCTATCAAATGTCCAGAAATGGATTATTTTAATGTTAAATACTTCAGAAATAGAAAAAAGAATACTCCATAACTCATTCAATGAGATTAGTAAAACTATAAAAACAGACAAGAACAGTATAAGGAGGAAAAAATTATAGCCCAATTCCATTCATGAGTAAATGCAAAAGTCCAAAGCAAAACATTAGCAGAGTACAGGAATATATATGTTTTAAATGATCACTATTTAATGATGAAATTGGGCTTGTCCCAAAAATGTAAAGATGGCTCAACATTCAAATATCTTTAAATATACTGCAATTCTCACATCACCAGATTAAGTAGTGAAAAAAATACACGCTTACCGCAAGAGATGAAAAAACAAGTGTTTCATGAAATTCAACATTGTATAATAAAAGCTCGGCAAATCAGAACTTCCTTGTCCTCGTAAAGAGTAGCAAAACCTAGGAAGATTCAATATTGTAGAGCTGTCAATACCCCCTAATGAGTCTACAGATTAAATGTGATTTGAGGGGGGAGGGAGGAATGAATCTCCTGGAGCTGCTTCTTGTTTGTCCTCAAGGAATTTGACAAAATGATTTTCATATTGAATAAAGGAGGAAAAGGCCAAGAACACTCCTTGAGAAAAATAAAATGGGGAGAGATTGGTCCTACCATGTGTCAAGAAATATAATTGAGTTATAGCAATTAATGTGCCACTTGGCCCTTGGTTAGGCAAACTGACCAATGGAATAGAACAGGAAGTTCCAAAATAAACATTTACTTACATGGAAATCTGCCACTGTAGCCTGGGTCTCTGGGGAATGGATGAATTAGTCAATAAATGGTGCAGAGGAAATTGGTTTTCTACACAGTAAAAAAGTGAAAAAAAAAAAAATTTTTTTTTTTTGAGACAGTCTCACTCTATTGCCCAGGCTAGAGTGAGTGCCGTGGCGTCAGCCTCGCTCACAGCAACCTCCAACTCCAGGGCTTAGGCAATCCTTCGGCCAAGGATTAATTGGCCAATTAATTTCTTTCTATTTATAGAGCCGGGGTCTCGCTCTTGCTCAGGCTGGTTTTGAACTCCTGACCTCGAGCAATCCACCCACCTCGGCCTCCCAGAGTGCTAGGATTACAGGCAAAAGTGAAATTTTAATCTATCTCACACAAATCAATTCCAGGTGGATTAGAGATTTAACTATGATCCATTTTTGATATTTAGAAGAGACTATATGGGAGGCCAGGGCAGGAGGATCACTCAAGGTTAGGAGTTCAAAACCAGCCTGAGCAAGAGCAAGACCCCATCTCTACTGAAAAATACAAAGAAATTAATAGGCCAACTAAAAATATATAGAAAAAATTAGCCGGGCATGGTGGCGCATGCCTGTAGTCCCAGCTACTGGGGAGGCTGAGGCAGGAGGATCGCTTGAGCCCAGGAGTTGGAGGTTGCTGTGAGCTAGGCTGACGCCACGGCACTCACTCTAGCCTGGGCAACAAAGTGAGACTCTGTCTCAAAAAAAAAAAAAGACTATAAGCACCTATGACCTTGGGACAGAGAAACATTTCTTAAGACACAAAAAGGACTCACATTTGAATATATTAACGTTAAAAATTCTGTTCACAAAAAACCAAAGCGAAAAGATAAGCCACAAACTGGGAGAAGATATGTAGAACAAAAAATAAAGAACAAGAAGATTAGTATCCTGAATTTTATGTAGAACTCTTAGAGAAAAAACAGAAAAATGAACAAGATATCAAAAGGTATTTCACAGAAGAAACAGGAATGCCTAACATGTTCAACTTATTAATAGTCAGGAAAATGTAAATTAAACCCACAATAAAATACCACTTTATACCTACCCGACTGGCAAGAATGAGGTCTTACAAGAGCAAGGGAAGGAGAAATCATACTGTCAGCTGGCATGACCAATCTGGAAAAGCAGCAATGCCCACCACTGTATCACCAATGTAGGCACAAACATTTTGGAAAACAACTTGGCATTATCTTTTAAAACTGTTATAAAGCTGATCAGGCACATACCTTACAAATTGCCAACTTTGCTTCTAGACATACACTCTAAAGAAACTCTTGGACATGACCACCAAGACATTGTATATGAACGTTCATTTCAGCATTATTTGTAAAAGAAAAAGTGAAAACTATATCCCACGTAAATTGTAAAACTGAACCTGCTGAATAAAAACATCAAATTGCATAAGACTATATCCAGTATACTATTTTTATAACACTCACGAACATGGTTTACAGACGTGTAAAAAGAAAAGAAAAAAAAGCAAAGAAATGATAGATTCAAGACAGTGTCCCTCTAAAGAAAAAGCTAGGCTGGGACAGGAATTGAGAAGCAACACAAAGGTAGGGTTGATACTACCAGAAATGTTCTAGTTCTTCATTAGTGGGTACACAGTTGTTACTATTATGCTTCATAACCTCTATGTCTATATATGTATCAAATATTAAATATAGAAACATAGTGACCAGAAATACTTTCACACTACTGAGAGAGACTATGATAAAGGAAATCATCTTTCCTCAAATGTGCATATGCTATATTACCTTGTGAAAACAGTGGGATAAGCTAGTAGAAGTGGAATAGTTTGAGTGTTTTAGTCACAAAGAGTACTACTGGTGTACCACTAATTAGTTGTGGCTCTTGGACACGTTAATTAACGTCTTTGAGCCTATTTTGTTAACTGTAAAATGCAGAATTACTGTAAAGGCCAAAAATGTTATGAAGCGACTGCTACATATGCTATTTAAAAAAATGTTAGTACTCCCCATGACTATTACTCAAATTTAAGAAACCCCTCATAGTCTAGTAAGTTTGTTCAGATAGACTGAATTTAGCCTCAACCACTAAGACAATGGAAGAGTGACTTGTTAAAAACAACAAGCAAAAAACACACACCAGAATTTTTGCATTCAAATAAGGTTGCATCTTAAAGAGGCTATACACCTCTTTCACTGGCCTTACTATTGCTCAGGCTTATTTTTAGAAATCTTTCATTGGAACCGTTTGCTTTCGAAAACATTTTTATCAGTGGAGGAAAACATTAATTCTTTGAGACTAGATTTCACCTGTAAAAATAGCCATAAAATATTTTGAGTCAAGTCTGATAAATAAAGTACACTGGTCCATAATTAAGGTTCTGGTCAAAAAAAATATTTTATTTTTGTAAAGACAGAGTCTCACTATCTTGCCCAGGCTGGTCTCTAACTCCTGGGCACAAGTGATCCTCCCACGTCAGCTTCTAAAGTGCTGGAATTACAGGCATGAAGCCACTGTCCTGGCCAGATTCTGGTCAAAACTAACATATGACTATAATGAGATTAATACCTTTGAGTGACTTACAAATGAACTCTTCAGGCTATTTTCAAAGATGAGTTTCAGAAAAGTTTTTGGCAATGGCAACACTGCTTTTACGAAGAGCTGCCACTTCACGAAGGTTACTAACTGGAAGGACAACAGTTATCTTAATGCATAGAGTCTCATTTCTATATAGTACGCATCTGAAATTACTATAAAAGACAACTGCTTAAGATTAGTGAAGCTACATCAGTTGGCTTTAATTGTTAATTTTTGTAAGGGTAACAAAGAACTTTCTATTCTCAGCTAAACAAAGATTCTTTATATAACAAAAAATGTTATAGCCGACCTACTAAATCAATTTTGCGTTTGAGGGGTAGAGAATAAACAATGACACAGTTTTGATATAATTCTCTAGCAATCAAATAATGAGAAGCAAAGTTACAAAGACCATATAGGAAGAAGTTCTTTTCAATAGATAATCTGCAATTTATTTTGAATTAATAAATAGCACTGATGTGACCCCAACTCTTTGATATCAGCACTTGGCAGTATATATAATTATTTATTATTCTGATTTGCTGGAGTGTTATAACACAAATTTAGAAATGGTTTTAAGAAAATATTACAGAGAGGTTTTACTGCCACTTGTAATTTCACATGAAGGGGAAAGAGACATAGCCAATGACATCCCAATAATAATTTCTTTAAAAGTCTGGCATGAGAAACCACAGATACATTCTTAACTGATAAAACACGAATTAGATTTTAAACACATTCTCCCTTTCTTATACAAGACATAGAGAAAAAAGCAGCAAAGAAAATTCTCAAGTTTACTGTTTTCAAGAATAGTTTATGCAGTTTCAACAATCCTTAATCTAGGCATTAAACAGAATTATAAATTCAAAGTTCATTTTGGATTAAGAGAATACTAATCCCTAATGGGTGTACAAAGTTTACTCAAATATTTTAGAAATAATCAGTTACATGATATAGTGAAATTAGTCAAAACCAAAATCAAGTAATTTGCTTTTAAAGTGGCAGTGCAATATACTTAATAGTAAAGCAGTGGCTTTAATGACTAAATGAGAGAATCACACAAAAGCACCCAGAACTATTTCTTGAAGAAATATGCACATTTTCCCCTGTTTCTCTTTTCCATTGAAAATTTCAATATTTTAGTGTATTTTATATCACTTTTTGGTAGGTGCTGTTAACATCTGAGGTTAAAGTGATAGGCCTCTCAATAAAGTAGCCATCTTCTTTGAATATTTGATCTCTTCACCTATGAATATAATCATTTTTCAATGTCACGATTCCTTCAGTCTGACTCTTTTTATATCTCAAAGAATGTGCTTTTGTCCTACAACGAGACTGTGCGTACTGATCATGCTATTTATCTTTTCATACTATTGTAAGGTCCTTCAAGGCAATGCTTCTGACTGCCCATTCATGACATAACAAATAGCCACATGTTCCCTTCATTTCACTTTACCGTCCTTATGAATAGTTCGTATTTTCTGGGTGGCTAGGGTTCCAATTTAGTGTGTTAGAGAACCACTGTATTATAAAAACCAGCAATTAAAATGTAATACTCATGCCCCCCAACTCTATACACATAACAAAGGCAGAAATATGTTAATGAAAAAAACATTTTAAATAATCTTAGGAAATAATAAGATCCTTCCCCCCTGAAAATAAATACAACAAACATACTAGTAACCGTAGCTAAACAAGCATAATACAAGAACTCCATTAGACATGTGGAAAACAGACAGCTAAAGCCAGGTTTTGAGACTTGTAGCAAATCCAGTAAAGTGCTATAGATTTAAACGCTTTTGGAACTGACTGAAATATGGCTGTCGTACAAGAGAACTGCTCGTCTGGATCCAGCAATGATTTATGAACTTGCCCACAGGTGACAGCAGAAAAAATACTAATAGTGTAATTTGGGAACATTTAAATCGGCTTCATGAAAGACATTTATCTGCCAGTGTGAGCACTCTTAAAATTCTTTTCTGGTTTGATATACCCAATACATATTGGCTTTCGTAATGTGGTTTTTCCACCCTACGGACGTGTCCAGGACCCCACTTAATGAGAGTGTACAAGCTATTAATTAGTCGATGAACTTGTGGGCTGGATGGATGGATGGGGGAAGTGTCTTTCACTGCCCCAGCTTCCTTATGAAACATAACTGGCCAGCAGTGGACGACAATAAATTTTAAGGCATAACTAAATGAAAATTTAGGAAGGCCTGGGAGAGGTACCAAACTGCGCTGCAAATACAAAATAGGGTATTTTAGGGTTAATAAATATTTACAAAAAATATATACATTTAATGAATGGGCCATTTTATAATGCTGGTTAAAACCATGAAAAGCTGTTAAATCAGTAGATGCATCAATATCCTGGCTTCAAATTAATATACAGAAACATTTTCAATTAAATTTCAATAAATATACTGGCAAGGATTAAATATAATGAGAAAAACAGCAGTTTCAATTTTTCTCTGCTTTTACCAACAATGTTTTATTGGTTAACGATGGACTTGAACTAATCAATAAATGGCAGTTATAAAGGGTTTTTGTAAAAATGTATTCATATTCTGATAATAAATAAATCCAGAATCTGTACAGTGGGGAAAACCAGAATGGTGACGAGTAACAGAACAGAAAGATAATAAATCCTGGGTTCAAAATCAAATGATTAAAGAAGAGCATTCAAGGTATTTTCAGATTCTCCATATTAAAGAGTCACATTCTGTATCAATCTTTCACACTAGAGTAATATCAAATCTAAAACTTTCTCTAATATAATATTTCCTCTGGCTCACGTTTTGCTTATTATGAAACACTTTTTGCATGAGATGAAAAAATGAAACTATAAACTCTTTCGAATGATCTTTTGGTGACCTGGCAATTCCAACTGCAATGAAAGAATTCTTATAGCACTGCTACAAGCTAAAGATACAGCTAAGTGACACTCAAAAAGACAAAACATTTTTCCACTTCTGTAAATATCCAAGAAACTGAAAAATCAACACATAGGAAAAAAGCAAGGCATAAATTCATCAGCACCACATAGAAATGATCTTCAAAAGGAGCAGGTCTCTTATGTGTCCTTGTGTTGATGAATAGGTTCTAATCTCCCCTCTAGGAAAAAAATCCACTGCCTGAGGTTAATAACCTTTAGGCAAAACAAAAGTTAAAACTCAACAAATTATATTTTGATTCATCCAAATTTAAAAAAAAGGTTTCAAAGTTTTGATACTACTTTTAAGCATTTTTTTGGAGCAGGTTTGCTTTTAAGTTAGACTGTCTTCCTTCCCTACTCCATTATTTGCTAAAGCAGGAATCATCAAATTTAACTTTATTACTAATAATTCTCCAGCTACCATTCCAAAAGTTGTACTCAGTCACAACACAACAGTTAACACTTAAAATAAGACTCTAACTGTAGTTTAAACTGCTCAAAGGTGGTCATCTCAAAATCTTGGCTTTCTTTCTTGCCTATCAGATATGACTACATTGTTGGCGGCTGGAATTCAAATCACATACAGTCAACCACATTATTGGATCCACGACCTACATCTCGAATTTGGCTGGTTAAACAGGCACACACAGCTACTCCTGCTCCAGCTCTGCAGTGAGACACAGATCCAACAAGCTCCCACCTGAAAAGACAGAGGAGAAAGAAAATTATCTTGAAACAAAGCACGATTTACTTTACTCCAAATAACAATTGAAGACAAAAAACTCCCCATTGTGGGACTGCTTTTGAAAGACGGCAAGCTTCCAGGAGATAAGATATCCCAAAGTTTTGTATTACTGTGTTTCCTCCAAAATAAGACCTCCCCATAAAATAAGCCCCAGCAGGATGTCTAAGCATGTGCTTAATAGAAGCCCGACCCCGAAAATCAGCCCTAGTGATGGGCGTGGCTATGAAAATCAGCCCTAGTGATGGGCGTGGCTATGAAAATCAGCCCTAGTGATGGGTGTGGCTATGAAAATCAGCCCTAGTGATGGGCGTGGCTATGAAAATCAGCCCTAGTGGGGGGCGTGGCTATGAAAATCAGCCCTAGTGAGGGGCGTGGCTGCGCAGCGCATCTGCACAACCCATGCCTGTCCTGGCTGAGCGGAGCGGGAAAGAACACGAGCAGCCCTTCTCATCCGCCCCGTGAGAGCTAGTGCTCGACAGGAGAGATCGGGGCTGGTGGCTCTAAAGGAAATAGAGTTGCAAGACATTTGGGATGGGATTCGGGGTCTGGAGAGTGAGGATGATGTTCCAGAAGAAGACGACTTCACTAGATTTGAATCAATGTAGATGGTTGTACCGTACTTAAAAAAACATAACACAGCCATTGAAAATAACCCCTAGGGTGTCTTCTTGAGGAAAAATAAATATAAGACCCTGTCTTATTTCCAGGGAAACACGGTAACAACTACAACTAAAGATATTTTCATATTCTGAAATAATCCATTACAGTAAGATGCCATGAAGCACAGAGCAAGCGTGTAAATCACCTATTCAGCACCGGATCGAAGGCTTCCACCGTGTTTAAGTACGCGTTGCCGTTGTGGCCGCCCACCGCAAAGATCCTGCCCATCACGGTGGCGATCCCCACTCCGCCCCTGGGCGTGGTCAGCGCTGCCACGTAATCCCACTTGTTGCTTCTGGGGTCGTACCGCTCAACAGAGCTCAGAGGAGAATTATCATCAAAACCACCTACAGGAAGAAATATTTTAAAAACGGCGTCACACTTCGTAGAAATGAACTACTAAATCTCAATTCCATAGCTGTTACAACCCAATCTTTTAAAACCATTTTAAAATGGCTTAGACAAAATTAGAAAAAAAAAAAAAATTCAGCCCAACACTTATCTACCACCAATAACAACTATTATCAGAAATTACTTACAATTCAACTTAACGTAAATGACATTTTAACTCAACACCAGGATTAAAAATCTTCAAGTGGGAAAAACTGGAGTCCCTGTATCTAAGCAGATAATTTACGGGGGAATAAAAGCACATATATTCATATGACTTGTCGTTAGCCTCCTAAGGTCAAGCAGAACAGTGCTGAAATTCCTTCTCTGTGTATTACGTTTTGTTTGTTTTTGAGAGTATCTCGCTCTGTTACTCAGGCCCGAGTGCAGTGGCGTCGTCATAGCTCACTGCAGCCTCCAACTCCTGGACTAGAGCAATCCTCCAGCCTCAGCCTCCCAAGTAGCTGGGACTACAGGCTCACGGCACTGTACCCAGCTAATTTTTTTGTTTTTTGTAGAGACTGTGTTGCCCAGGCTGGTCTCAAACTCCTGGCCTCAAGCAATCCTCAGGCCTCAGCCTCCCAAAATGCTAGGATTACAGGCATGCACCACTGTGCCCAGCCTATATTTTTAAACAGTAAGAAGGCTTGAGAAGGGAATAAACTACACTAAGTCATATATTTAATCTAGATATAACTATTTACCTTAATACTATAATTGCCATTATAATTAGAGATGGTGGACTATGAGTGAATTCTCACCAATTTTTGCCAAAACTATATCTTCCAGCTACATATTCTAGATGATGACAATCCTTTCTATAGATCATTCTAACAATGTACTTAATATATTCCTGACGGTTAAATATAGAGACTGTTATTTTAACAGTGTTCTTTCCTTTAAAAAATAGATGTATCTCTTTATAGGCTCCAAGTTTAAATGAATAATAGCTCTCTTTGGTGACTCAGGCTACTTCACTGAGAACAAAAAGTGTTGATGTTATAATCAGTCTATTTAAAAACAAGGTCAGTTAAAAAAGAATCAACTTCTCTAATGGATTTAATGTTATTAAATCAACTTAATTAAAATTCACCAATTTTATGTGCATACTTCCATGTATTCATCTGTCATTGCATATCCTGATAAACTAAACTAGAGAAATCCCATCCACTCACCAACAACGTATAAGCATCCATGAAGCTCACTAACTCCATTGCCTGCTCTTCGTTGACCCATTTCTTTAACTTCTATCCATTTATCCAGATGTGGATCATACCTTTCCACACTAGATAAAGAAGCCACTCCATCATTGCCACCTACTGCATACACATGGTTCTAAATGGAGAGAGACAGACAAAACACATGATATTATGTAAGATACTGGGCTATAAGGACAATGGACACCTTCCAGCTTCTGTTTACTGCTTGTTTGCTAACCTCAAGGCATTATGGGTACATTATGGGACGCAGAGGAGAAAGACAAAGAACGTGGAAACCAGAGTGTCTCAGCTAGGACCCGGAACAGGTTGGAGCCTATGAGGGGCAGGATGAAGTAAGAGTCACTGTGCGGGCGGATGCATGACCAGTGTGTAAACAACTGAGTTATAAAAAGGAGACTAAAATAAAAAAAATAAAAATAAAAAAAAAGAATAAAAAGGAGACTAACACAAGGAGGGTCCCTGCCCGGAGAAGAGGCCACTGCGCTGGCACTCTGGGGGCTCGGACCCTAGCTCGAGCTAGACAATAAAACTCCTTTTGGTAATTACAGCCTCGGTGACTCTGTCTCTGTCCTGCGGCCTTGTGAATCTCGAATATAACAATTAGATTTTGAATTTATTTATGTATCGCCCTAACGGTGGACCAGAATGTGTAAGAAAGCAGTATTTCATTAAATAATGCAGTATATAATCAATATCTTCATGCTGGCGACAGGCAAACATCGGACCTCCCTTTGGTTACGAGGTGACGCGATGCGATGGGCAAGTTGCCGGGTCACTTACTAACAGAGCCACAGAGCCGACTCCTCCACGGGGAGTGTTCATGGGCGCCACTGCACTCCACTGGTCGGACTCTATGTCGTATCTCTCCACGTCATTGAAGCAAGTGTTGTCATCTAAGCCTCCAATTGCATAAATCGGGCCTCCTAAGGAGGCCAGAGCAATTCCTCGCCTGCAAAGACAATTAAACAGACTTTAACATCTGGGTTTGTTTCCAGGGAAAAAAACTAAGAAAATTGAGCTGATGCAAGTCATTCATCATGTTAACCTTCAAATGGTATAGTTTGTTTCCATTATTTTTAGTTATTTATTTATTTTGAGACAGAGTCTCACTCTGTTGCCCAGGCTAGAGTGCCGTGGCGTCAGCCTCGCTCACAGCAACCTCCAACTCCTGGGCTCAAGTGATCCTCCTGCCTCAGCCTCACGAGTAGCTGGGACTACAGGCATGCACTACCATGCCTGGCTGAGTTTTTCTATGTATATTAGTTGGCCAATTAATTTCTTTCTATTTATAGTAGAGACGGGGTCTCGCTCTTGCTCAGGCTGGTTTTGAACTCCTGACCTCAGGCAATCTGCCCGCCTCAGCCTCCCAGAGTGCTAGGATTACAGGTGTGAGCCACCGTGCCTGGCCTATTTCCATTATTTTTAGACTTATCCAAGCTTCTGAATAAATGGCTGCAGGGTTGCCAAGCTGTGCCACTCTATGTGAATAAATAGTGGCCCCTACAGTTGTTCAGTGCACCGCCCACACAGGCTACACTCAGATAAAACAACAGATTAAAATCCAACAAAATGGTATAAAGGAGTCCCAGATATTCAATTAGTAAAACACACAATTGCATGATAGAGAGGTCAATGAGTTGACAGAGATGGTTTGCTGTGGAGGTCAGAGGTCACTCTCATTTCTGAATTCAAGCAGCTTGTTTTGTTGCAGGGTTTCATTATACCACACAAAAAATATTAATTTTTATATTACGAGCTTTATATCATACTGCTTTATTTCTCAAGGGCATTTATTTTTGCCTCTTTCAAAGAAAGACTTCTTAGCCTATGTTAAAAATCAATATAATGGTGATCAGACAAAATTATCTCGATTTCTTAAAAAACACATTATAGCAATCAAAAGTTGAACTATTATAAAACTAGTTATTTGTAACTAACTTGGATACAAAGTAGTAGACTTTATAAGCCTCTGCTACCTTGCTTCTTCATCTGAGACACAGCTGATACTGAGTTAATAAGGTAAAGCACTTAGAACGATGCCTGGCCCATCTTTAGCGCTATGTACTAGCTGGTAGTATTACTGAAGAAAGCAACTGCTCCACTGAGAATGTGACTCTAAGCTTATCAGAGAATATCCTAGGAAAAAATTCGTAAAGATAATGCCATCATTCATTTTCAGTCTCTTTTATCTCTTTTCTCTTGAATATAAAGCTATGACTTATCAAATACAATGGTTATAAAAATGTTCAGGTGTGTGAGAACATACGTATGTCCTCTGTAGGACATAAGGATATTCGATCAGGGTAGAAGCAAAGTAAGTCTGTCTAATAATAATTCTTCCTCCTCCCCCAAACCACAGAAGCACATGACATTATCGGCTATTTCCTACTCCTCAAAACTCTCTTCTTCTCTTGATTTTCATAACATCACACATTTGAGTTTCCTTCCAAATCTCCAGCTGGTGTTTTTCAGCTTCCGTTCTTTACATTCTTTTACACCATCATTAAATTATGAAGCACATTCTTTACACCACCATTAAATTATGAAGTCTCCTAAGGCTCTAAGGCCTCTATCACTGTATATTCTCTCTCCCTAAGCAATCTCATTCCTTCCACAGATTTATAACTCAAATATATATTTTCAGACATATATCCAATTTCTACTTAAAATCTGTCTTGCTGGCTCTTCAACCTTAACTTTAATCTGAAATAAACTTACCACCCACCTCCCTGTGGTAGCCACAATTTTAAGACCTTCTCCCTCCCCCCTGACCTGCATCCCCTGACGTTATTCCCACGACTATGCTACATTAGGCGGCATGGGGGTTTACCTGGGGTGGGTCTCATCTAATCATACAAACCCCTCAAACGCAGAGAGGTTTCTCCAGCTGGCAGCCAGAAACTCAAAACCAAATGGTAGGTTCAGCATGTCACTGCTTGTTTGAAGATAACAGAGAGTATGTCGAAAGGACCTGAGAGTGACTACTAGTCAACAGCCAGTAGAAATGACAAATGCAGTCCTGTAACCACAGCAACTGAATTTTATCCATAAACTAAACAGCCCTGGAAGGGGCTTCTTCCCCAGTGCCTTCAGGTGAGAGCCTAGCCCAAGATCTTTATATTCTGAGACCCCGAGTAGAAAACCTAGCAAACCTGCAGGACTTCTGAACCATGAGCTAATAAATGGGTGCTATTTTAAGCTGCTAAATTCATGACAATTTATTACAAAGCAATAAAAAACTAATACATCCCCATCATAAGACAAACAAAAAATTTTATCCTGGTTGCCATCTTGTTTTTCCTAATTCAGCACCACTACCCACCCAGTTGCTTAAGTCAGAAACTGAAGAATCATCTTTGCTTCTTACTGTTCTTTCCATTTCATATATCTCATTATAATGAAGACTCGGTGACTGTACACTTCTGAACTATCTTTCAAATATGTCCTCTTTTCTCTATCTCAGTTTCCACTACTTTAGTCCACGCCCCCATTATTTCTTGACTGAACTATTACAATAACCACTTTTGGTCAGACTGTTTTCGCTCTGGTCATCCTCAAATTCCTCCTTCACTTTCTATGCAGAGGATCTTTGAAAAGAGCAATCTGATCCTATCATTCTCCTGATATTTAAATTCAAGATATATATTTCATATGTATTTTTCATTCAAAGCCCATCAGATAAAATAGCCTTGACAAAGCTGAAAGGCCTTCGCCCTCTGCCTGCCCTTTTCTGCCTCATTTCTAGACACTTCCCCTCCTTGATCTCTCGGCCCTACTGGACTTCCTTTATGCTCTCTGCTCTCTTTCACATCCAAGTTTTAGAAGGCTCTTCATTTCTCTCCACCCACCACTTCTTACCCCACCCACAATCACTTAATCAGGTTAAATTATTCAATTCCTTCAGATCTTAAATTAAATAAGACTTTCTTAAGATCTTTTCCACTCCGCAAACACTTTTTACTTATCCTGTTCTAATGTTACTGCCCTTATTGTCTTTGTTATCTTCTCTTTTAGAATGTAAGCTATACAAAGGCAGGGCCTTTTGCTATCTTATTTATTGCTGGTAGCAGAATGGCATCTTCAATCTTCACCATTTGATACGTCTTATATATGTCTTACAGTGGGCACTTAACTTTTTTTGTTAAATAAATAAATGGATCCTTAGACACGCTCTGTTAGGATGATGAGTTTCAGTAAAACCACAGCTTGAACAAACATCAGTGTCCATTTTAGTAGAAAGATGAAAAATAAGGGGAAAATATAAAGAAAACCAAATCTTTCACATGTACAATTATCTTAAAATACATAGTGAAAAGAGGATTTGGGGGAATATAAATTATAAGCAAATAACATGACAAAATAATTATAGCTCTATTATTTTTTACACAGTTGGACAGCTACTGTAAATGCTCAGAGATTTCATTTTATTTATTTAATTTTTTGAGATAGGGTCTCACTCTGTTGCCTGGGCCAGAGTGCGGTGGCATCATCACAGCTCACAGCAACCTCAAACTCCTGGGCTCAAGCAACACTCCTGTCTCAGCCTCTCACAGGTACATGCCACCATGCCTGGCTAGTTTTTTCTATTTTTTGTAGTTTTTCTATTTTTTGCTTTTGCTCAGGCTGGTCTCGAACTACTGGCCTCAAGCAATCCTCTTGCCTCAGTCTCCGAAAGTGCTAGAATTACAGGCATGACCCACTGTGTCCGGCCTCCAGAGCCTATTTTAAAAGATTAAAGAAACTCAACTGATATTTTGCTAAAGAGGTTTTATTCCAAATTGGCTAAAAACCAACTTAATAGCAAGGATATAACGATTAAAAATGTGCTTTGGGATTTTTCCCTCATTTTAATCCGTGCATTAAAATTTAAACTATCTGTAGTTACCACATAGTACAATCAAGCCCTATTTAAAATGTTGTTTGTAGGCAGTAGGAGGTAACAGTTTAAGAGTAGCTTTTATTTCTTAAGATTTTTTTTCTTATAAAGAAAAATAAGCTAAAAAAAAATCTCTTTAAAGCATTAACTCTCTTCACATTTCTATCTAATCTTTCAAACTTTATATGGGGTTTTTCTAATCATTCATGTTTTAACACATGAAAAAAATCTAGCTAAAACACTTTGCTAAATTAATCAAGAATAGAAATTTAGATGGCAATGTATCCTTATGTGAAATTCAGTTTAAAATTGCTCATTTTGATAACAAGTCTTTTTTTTTTTTTGAGACAGCATGGCACCTTGCTCTGTTGCCTGGGCTAGCACGCAGTGGTGTCATCATGGTTCACTGCAACCTGAACTCCTGGGCTAAAGCAATCTGCCTCAGCCCCCCAGGGAGCTGGGACTACGGGTGCGTGCCACCATGCCGGCTAATTTTTCTATTTTTTGTAGAGATGGAGTCTCTCTATGTTGCTGGAGCTGGTCTCAGACTCCTGGCCTCAAGCAATCCTCCTGCCCCAGCCTCTCAAAGTGCTAGGGTTACAGGTGTGAACGACCTCACCCAGCCACAAGTCATTTTTAACTCTTACAAAATATTGCTATAGCTTGCCAACCATACAAGCCACAATGTCTGAAGTTAGGTTTTGTTAGTTTGTTCCTTTTAATAAAACTACAGGTGTTATATTTTTATCTTTGTTCTCTAAACAAAGCTACTCTTAAGCAGTTTGTTCAGTATTTACTCAGTCATATTCTCTCTTCCTCCCTTGTATTTTCAGACTAAAACAAAGAGGCAATATTATTCTAGAATCTAGGTTTATATAAATTATTATGCTCAGTCTTTGAAATCCTCACCCTATTTACTGAACTTTAAATTTGAAAAAGAAAAATAATAGGTAATCTAATTTAACCTCCCACTCAGTGTACAATATATGTGGTTTTTCTGACATACACCATTCCAGGCCAGGCACAGTGGCTCGTTTTAAAAATTTAGAGAGGCTAATCTTTTATTCTCATAGCCCAACTGATGTTACATATCCTATTTCAAAACCGCAGCTATAGATACAGAGATCAGTACAAAGAACAGTAGGACTATAAACGCCCTTGATCTAAATAAAGGCTTTCCTTCTCTTAATGTAGGCAATTATATTATATTCAATTTTTTCCTTTAAGAACTGAATTTCATAATGGTCCAGGTACTTTTCTCCATATGAAACAATCACAAACCTGATTTCCCACCACGTTGTGCTGGTGTAATTGACTTTTTAAAATACCTAAAGAAGATTTTAACCTATAATTCTGTTTTTAATACTTTAGGTTTTGCTGAGAGTACATCTGGTCTACTCAGTCTTTTGAATACTGATTTGTCACATGATATTCGTTATCCTTCCTCCTTAGGAGAGCTGAAAATTTGATATTCAAGTCATTAATAAAAAGGTTGGCTGGGCACAGTAGCTTATGCCTATAATCCTAGCACTTTGGGAGGTTGAAACAGGGGGATCACTTGAAGCCAGGAGTCCAAAGACCAACCTGGCCAATATATCAAGACCCCATCTCTAAAACAATTTTTTAAAATTGGCTGGGCATTCACGCCTGTAATCCTAGCACTCTGGGAGGCCGAGGCGGGCGGATTGCTCGAGGTCAGGAGTTTGAAACCAGCCTGAGCAAGAGCAAGACCCCGTCTCTACTATAAATAGAAAGAAATTAATTGGCCAACTAAAAATATATAGAAAAAATTAGCCGGGCATAGTGGCACATGCCTGTAGTCCCAGCTACTTGGGAGGCTGAGGCAGGAGGATCACTTGAGCCCAGGAGTTTGAGGTTGCTGTGAGCTAGGCTGACGCCATGGCACTCACTCTAGTAGCCTGGGCAACAAAGGAGACGCTATCTCAAAAAAAAAATTGGCTGGGCATGATGGTACATCCCTACAGTCCCAGATACTAGGGAGGCCAAGGCAGGAGGATAGCTTGAGCCTGCAGTGAACTATGATCACGATACTACACTCCAGCCTGGGTGACAGAGCAATACTCTTGTCTCTAAAAAATAAAAATGAACATGCTAGAGTACTAATTATGTTACTAAAAATCTTCTCCCCTTTAGACTGATCCATTTATCAACATATTTCAATTTATTGCAGATGAGAATTTAAGATATTAATGCTCATGATAAAATCAACGAAGAACGATTGATATTTTCTTAGTATGATAAAATATACATGGCCTTAGTCCTAAAGTCAGTGTCTTATTTGAGAAACACTAGAGACATTACCACTAAGATCAGGAACAAGACAAAAACATCTACTATCTCTGCTACTATTCATCTGTATTAGATCATCAGCCAATACAATTAGACAGGAAAAATCAATTAGAAGCATAATAAAATAAATTAGAAAAAAAGCATAACAAAAATCAATTAGAAGCGTAAGAATGTGTGGGGAAATTGGCAAAAAAGTTGAATAAAGATATTAATTAATGACAGATATTAATTAATGACATTGTACCAATGCTAATTTCAATAAAACTATACTATGGCAACATTCACAGGAAGCTGGTTGAAGGGGGGACAACGAGGTTTCTTTACCTTGGCACTATTGGCATTTGGGGCTGGAAAATTCCTTGTTGTGGGGGGCTGTCCTGTGCTCTGCAGAATCTTTAGCAGCACCCCTGACTTCTTCTGGTCAGCAGCAACTTACCTACCCACGAGCTGTGACAACCAAAAATGTCTCCAGACACTGCCGACTATCCCACAGAGGGGGTAAAAATCGTCTTCAGTTGGGAACTACTGCTACACAGAACTCTACTATTTTTGCACCTTCTCTGAAAAACCTGAAATGACTTCAAAACAAAAAGTGTTTTAAAAAGTCAATGCTCAGGTATAAGTGAAAACTGTGACTACTATCATGGTAATCTAAAAGATGACCACATTTTTAATTCTTAAAAAAATATATATATAAAAAGTTCTAAGAAAGCATCACCTTGGGTATTTTAACAAAATGTGTTTGAGTAGCTATTTAAAGTTTCTAAAAACAGAAAAAAAAATGAAAAAATAAGGCCTTTCAATTTTAGGAAACTTTATTTTCTACCATTAGTTTAAAAGAAATTTCCATCGATCTACCTCTTTGTGTTCATTGATGCCTTCATCATCCATTTATTAGTGAGAGGATCAAACATCTCCATGCTACCTAAATGTTCATTTCCATCATGTCCACCTACTGCATACACTTTACCTGTTAAATAGAGAAGTATTTTCATTGGATTCCAAATAGTGTTGTTTATATATATACACGACTATATAATTAAAATGTCACCATAAATTTTCAACAACTCCTGTGCTGTTCAACATAATGATCTATGCCATTTCAGTAGTTAAATGAAAATCAATGTTAGCTTACACTAAACATGCCATTCGCTTTACATGAAGTTATTTAAATGCTCAAACACTATCCCCTTAGGTTTCCCAACGTTTTATTGCTTAGATGAAATCCCTAATCATGTTGCAAAGAATGTTTCATAAAATGGAATAAAGCTCACGTTATATAAAGAAAATATATGGCCGGGCGCTGTGGCTCACGCCTGTAATCCTAGCTCTTGGGAGGCCGAGGCGGGCGGATTGCTCAAGGTCAGGAGTTCAAAACCAGCCTGAGCAAGAGCGAGACCCCGTCTCTACTATAAATAGAAAGAAATTAATTGGCCAACTGATATATATATAAAAAATTAGCCGGGCATGGTGGCGCATGCCTGTAGTCCCAGCTACCCGGGAGGCTGAGGCAGAAGGATCACTCGAGCCCAGGAGTTTGAGGTTGCTGTGAGCTAGGCTGACGCCACGGCACTCACTCTAGCCTGGGCAACAAAGGGAGACTCTGTCTCAAAAAAAAAAAAAAAAAGAAAATATAAAACTGTTAATACAATCAATTTTTTTCTAAATGAAACACATAAAAATACACACAGAAAAACAAGAAAGGTTACACACTAAGAAGTTAACTCTGAATATTTCTGGGTGTGTGGAGTATAGATGATTTTTATTTTTTATTAAAATATATTTTATTTTATTTATTTATTTATTTATTTAGAGACAGAGTCTCACTCTGTTGCCCTGAGTAGAGTGCTGTGGCGTCAGCCTAGCTCACAGCAACCTCAAACTCCTGAGCTAAAGCAATCCTGCCTTAGCCTCCAAAGTAGCCGGGACTACAGGCATGCACCACCATGCTTGGCCAATTTTTTCTCTATATTAGATTTATTATTTATGTATTATTATTAGATTTATTATTTATTTATTATTTATTATATTTTTAGTTGTCCAGCTAATTTCTTTCTATTTTCAGTAGAGACAGAGTCTTGTTCTTGCTCAGGCTGGTCTCGAACCCCTGACTTCAAGTGATCCTCCTGCCTCGGCCTCCCAGAGTGCTAGGATTACAGGCGTGAGCCACTGCGCCCAGCCTAAAATATATTTTATTAATACTATTGTTTTTAAAAAGGATATATACTTTTTTTTAAAAAAAGTAATTTTTAAAAAAGTTTTCTAATAATTTATCTATGGTTCTATATTAATTTTAAGTAATGAGTAAAAAAACTAGTTTCAATAACAATTAGATGGGTACAGAAAAAGCTGAAATATATACTTATGATTTGGGTTCAATAAACATTTTTCCTTCCGTTTTTTTGTAAATATAACTCAGAATAGTTTAACTCTTCATCTGCCTTTTTTCTGACATTCATCTCCACATGATATACCTCACGCAACCGATTGTACACTGAGCAGCTGTGAGCACAAAGCAAGTAAATAATCACTACCCAAATATGTTACTGATATATTAAAATATTTTACAACTTAGCAATTTTTCTTTTTTTAATTCTTTTTTTTTTTTTGCCCTATAGGTTGGAAGCAATTCTTTTATATAAAGAAAGAAGTTCTCAAAGTTCAAATATTTTTAAAAAGCACATTGTGAAAACGTGACATGATCTCAGACAACAGTGGACCCACCTTCCACAGAGATCACACCCACGTGTCGCCTTCGGCTATTCATTTCTGGTCCGAAGAACCAACTGTTTTTGTTGATAGAATAGCACTCGATACTGCGAAAGGGGTCCCCAGACCCACCTCGACCACCTACACAAAACAGCACACCTAAAGGTAAAGCCAAAACAGAGATCAAAATCACAGCAGCCAAAAATTGCTTTAAATTATAGTGTGGAAAAATATTTAGAAAGTCAAAACTGTGAGTAACAGCAAAAAAAAAACCCCAAAAAACAAACAAACAAAGGTATTTGGATAGTATTCAATGTTGTTGTGTTACTAGAAATCTAATCTAATTTTCTTTCTTCCCCCTAATTTGAACTTCTCAAATAGAGTACATTAGTACCAAATAGAGGGTATAAATCATTACAATGATTTATACCCTCATCTACTCTGTAAAATTGCTCTTGCTAAAGGTCATAACAAAACTAATTAACTCCTAATTTCTTTTTTTTTTTTTTTGAGACAGTCTCACTTTGTTGCCCAGGCTAGAGTGAGTGGCATGGCCTGAGCCTAGCTCACAGCAACCTCAAACTCCTGGGCTCAAGCGATCCTCCTGCCTCAGCCTCCCGAGTAGCTGGGACTACAGGCATGCACCACCATGTCCAGCTAATTTTTTCTATATATTTTTAGTTGGCCAATTAATTTCTTTCTATTTTTAGTTGAGACAGGGTCTCACACTTGCTCAGGCTGGTTTCGAACTCCTGACCTCGAGCGATCTGCCCGCCTCAGCCTCCCAGAGTGCTAGGATTACAGGCGTGAGCCACTGCGCCCACCCGACCCTAAGTTAATTTCTTAATGACACTTTGAGAAGCACTGACCCCCTTACAAAGTAAATCCTTAGCACAGCATAAAAGCCTCCCAGGACTTAATCCAATCATCATCTTCTCCTTCTTTTCCTCTCTTTCTCTCTCTCTCTCTAACTTCATGCTCCTGCCAACCTGCATATAGTGCTCATCCCTGGTATTCCTACAGCACTTTTGGTAATTCACATTCACTTAATAAACAGTATTGAAATGATCTATTATGCTGACATCTGGCACCAGAATCTAAGCTAGGTTAAGACTATATAGTAAGCATTTATACACTAATAAGAACTAGTACAGTGCCTGGCACAGAGAAGGCATTCGAAAAATGTAAAATGAACTGAACAATCCCTTATCCTAACTGGTACCCAAAAGAACATCTACTTATTATTCAAAACTAAAGCTGAGGTCTACTTTCTTTATAAAAACTTTTCTGACTGTTCCAAGGTAAAAATAACCACTGTTTGTGCATCCCACTATACCTTGGGATTATATAAATGCACCAGTAATACTTTAGAGCATTTATTTATTCAAATGTCCTATTTCCCTAGAGCAAACTACAAGTTCTCCCAAAATAAGGCTGGCTATATTCTATCCATGTCTGCATTTCTAATGTCTAACCCAGAGCCTTCCACACGTTAGGCACTTATACTTGTTTACTGAATGACTGCATAAATGAATAACCAGAAACCACTTGTGCTATCTTTTCCAACTAATTCAATATTCATTTTTTTTGTGTGTTTTTTTTGAGACACAGTCTCACTCTGTCGCCCAGTCTAGAGTGCTGTGGGGTCAGCCTAGCTCACAGCAACCTCCAACTCCTGGGCTCAAGGGATCCTCCTGCCTCAGCCTCCCAAGTAGCTGGGACTACAGGCATGCTCCACCATGCCCGGTTAATTTTTACTATTTTTAGTAGAGGCGAGGTCTCACTCTCAGGCTGGTCTCAAACTCCTGAGCTCAAGCAAACCTTCCACTTCTACCTCCCAGAATACAAGGATTACAGGTGTGAGCCACCACACCTGGCCAAATTCAATATTCTAAGTCAGGGAAATTTCAAGTTGGAAGAGACTGTAAAGATCATTTAGTCAAATTGTTTACTTCAGCTACACAGGTCACCTAGGAACACGGCATGAAAGAGAAAGGAACTAAAGTAAAAAGATCAGGATGCAAATCTTTTCTCTATTTCTCTGTGTAGCTTTGAGCACAGAGACTAATTCCTAGTCTCCTACCCATAAAATGGAATAACATCATCTATCTCATAATGAGAGTTGAAAAGTCCTTGCAATCATGCAAAAGATCATGTATCCAAGTATCTAGTATATTTTGGCATATAACCTAGGATACTAAGGTGGTGTTTGAATTCAAATCCGAATTTGAAGAATTTCATCAAATGCCCTGGCCTTCTAGAACAGACTTCACAACTTTAAAAAAATAAAACTATGCCCCTAAAAAAATTTAATTATTTACATCAACCTATAAAAAAAAAAAAGTCTGAATAAGTAACAGTCCTTTTCATGTAAAGTTATTTAGAACTACTTCTTCATAGGCAGGTGTATGATTTTCAGCCTTTCTTTATGCCTATACCTACCTAGATAAAATTCCATTCTATTCATAAACAAGTATGCCTTTTGTTGTTTTTAGACTATTTCACAGATCTAATTGAATAAATGTATATTGAGTAGCAGCACTTATAGAGGAAGTTTCTATTCAGAGTTCCTCTTCCTATATCTCTGGACCTCACTTATTATATTCTCTCATCCTTCAAATATGTAACTCTCTATAAATGTTAAAAAAGTGAACAGGAATTATTTTCTTGGGAAAATATAAAGTCTAAAAATTGTGGTAAACAAAGATGAAAGTGCATACCTCCTAAAACATAAGAGCTTTAGATTCTAAGAGTTTAATAAGGTACAATATACAACTAACGTAACTCTTCTGATTTGGTAAAATGCAAAAACAAATATTCAAACATGTATTTCAAGCTTCATCCTTGGCACTACAGATACAAACCTAAATAAAATACTTAACTGTCTTTGAAGAATTTAAGACATGTCAAATGAATAAATTGCCAGACAACATAGTAAAACAAATTCAAATAAAGTGCTCTTAAAAACAAAAATAATAGGAGCTAATTCGGCCTAGAAGAATCAGGGAAGACCTCAAAGTAAGAAACGTTTCAGCAGGCTCTTCAAGGTATACAGGACTTGCTATGGCTTTTTAAAAAACTGGCTTATCAGTAAAACTATCTAAAATCATGTACAATAGGAATTATGAACATACATATAAAATCATATTTTCCAATTACTACTTTAAGGCAATCGAACAATAATTATCTAACAATTAAGTTTGAACATATATAAACACCCTCCACAACAAAAATTAAGTTTGAACATATATAAACACCCTCCACAACAAAGATTAAGTTTGAACATATATAAACACCCTCCACAACAAAGATCATTCTAGAAAAGCTGACGAAATGAGTGATGTAATTACCAGCAGTATGCTTCCTTGGGGTGGTCCGAACAGAGTATTCAAAGTCAGGTACTGCTCTGCTACTCAAATGAAGGTGGTAATTTCTTGCTTCATCCAGTAAATCTCTACATTTTAGATTTTGCTTGACAATCTGTTCTTTTGCCACAACACCCATGAGAAAATCAACTGGCAACAAGGGCAGACGAACCTAAAATCATGAATAGTTGCAATATAAAATATAGGTGGTAATAGCACCTATACCACTTTCTCCACTTTCATTGCAGTATGTTCTCTTTTCAAAGCTTAGTTACTTCATTTATAAAGACTTTTAAAACATGTTAATAAAATTCAATGTGTCGCATTCTAAAGCAGTTTCCAGCATTGGTCTGCATTAATGAAACCAGTCTATGTTAAGTATATCCACTCTCTTTAAATATGGATTTAAATAGGCTAAATAATTCAATTGTCTTCAAATTGCTTATTTACAAAAATGGTACTGACATAACAAGGCCTCTTTGTTGCTAAAGAAAGGCATGATCGAAACAAAATTGCTGTGCTTTGTTCTTTTGCCTTTTTATGCTAAGACTGAACATAAGGAAATGTGATTTCTTACTTAAAAACATGAACTTTCATATCTGAAACAAGTAAGTGGGCCGGGCGCGGTGGCTCATGCCTGTCATCCTAGCACTCTGGGAGGCCGAGGCGGGCGGATTGCTCGAGGTCAGGAGTTCGAAACCAGCCTGAGTAAGAGCGAGACCCCGTCTCTACTATAAATACAAAGAAATTAATTGGCCAACTATATATATTTTTCAATATATATTGAGAAAATTAGCCGGGCATGGTGGCACATGCCTATAGTCCCAGCTACTCGGGAGGCTGAGGCAGGAGGATGGCTTGAGCCCAGGAGTCTGAGGTTGCTGTGAGCTAGGCTGACGCCATGGCACTCACTCCAGCCTGGGCAACAAAGTGAAACTCTGTCTCAAAAAAAAAACAAGTGTTTTCTTCAAATCAATGATCCTGGGAAGCCATTTACTAACTAAAGGGATACATCCCTTTCAGTAGAGGGGTTCACCATTCCTCTCTCAAAGATGCAGATTTTCTAGCCGACTAAAGGGGTGATCAAACCAGGTAATGCCATTTTGAATTAAAAGCACACACGTAGGGGGCTGAGTCCAGTCTCTCCAGCCCACTGCAAGACCCACTGCAGTGGTTCACACACCTATTGCCATGGCCTCCCTTGAATAACATCTGCCTTACCATCTTAAAAAGAAAAAAAGCACATACACACAAACGAGACATAGCTGCAAAATAATGAAATTTGTTTGCTCTTGTTGACAAACTTATTTTCAAAATAATTTTTTTTTTTTGAGACAAAGCCTTGCTCTGTGACCAAGCTGGACTGCAGCCTCAATCTAGTGGACTTAAGGGACAGTCCTGTGTCAGCCTCCAGAGTAGGTGAGATTACAGGCGAAAGCCACTATGCCGGACTCAAAATTATTCTGAGAGAGAAGACCTAAATGTGTTCTGAACTTTGATAATCATATGAATGTATATATTATATATTGCTCTATGCAATTTAAAAAAAAACAGCCTCATTATAATCACACTTCAAATAGGCTTCCTTCATTTGCCTATAAATGTCTAAAATGAGAACACTGGTAATTCTAAGCAATTTCATTCTTCTTAATATCTGTTAAAATTTTTGATAATAGCATTGAGAAATTTTATATTTTTTAAAATTAGCATAATTATTACCAGGTGCTTTTATCAAACAAAATTTTAATAAGGCATTTACTTTTGAAAAAAATAAGCAAATAAGAACACTCTTCTTTTAAGAAGCATCATTTTATTTCTCAGGAATAAATGAAAAAGGAAGAAAGGAAGGGAGAAAAGAAGGGGGAGGGAGGGAAGGGAGAGAAAATAAAAGATACAGACCCCAAAGGGCCCATTATTATCTCCCTATCCCAGTAATCCTTGTTGACAGTAAAAACAAAAACAAAACAAAACAAAACAATAACAATAATAATAAGAGACATTTTTGAGGTTAAAAAAAAGTCAAGACCGGGGGCGGTGGCTCACACCTGTAATCCTAGCACTCTGGGAGGCCAAGGTGGGCGGATCTCTCAAGATAAGGAGTTTGAAACCAGCCTGAGCAAGAGGGAGACCCCATCTCTACTAAAAATAGAAAGAAATTAATTGGCCAACTAAAAATATAGAGAAAAAATTAACCGGGCATGTTGGCGCATGCCTGTGGTCCCAGCTACTCGGGAGGCTAAGGCAGGAGGATCACTTGAGCCCAGGAGTTTGAGGCTGCTGTGAGCTAGGCTAACGCCACGCACTCTAGCCCAAAAAAAAAAAAAAAAGTCAAACTGTGGTGAGGGAAGAAAATAGAAAGCGATGCCATGTGGTTCTTTCCAGAATAAGCCTATATGCATTAGGAATAAGTGTACTTTCATTAGCAAAATAATTCACTAAGATTTAGAAACATCATAAAACAGTAATTATAAATTATATTAACTTAGCGCTATTTCCTGAGACTCTTTTCTATTAGCATAAATGAAATATTCATTACTCTATCTCAAAGGAATATTTTAATTAGGCAGGTTAAAAAGCAGGGAATGATGTGCTAATTCAAACATGACAAATTTAGACTTATCCTTAAACAGTATAGCAACTGAATAAGAAATTGAAGAGTTATAAAACCACTTCAGTATTGCATTACATCAATGATTTCCACACTCCTTCAAATAAGCTACACTTTTTCACAGTAAATGACACATGCTGATTTGCTTCCTGCATCATGTCATTTCTATACACAATCCTGTTGCAGCCCCTACCTGTGCAAGTGTTTCATCCAACCACTTGGAATGATGCTGAGGGTTGGCAAGAAGCCACTTGATGGCAGCACTGTAGACCTGCTTCTCATTCTCGATATTCAGATCGCTGGAGGACAGCAGCTTATGGAGGTGCTGGGGTGACACGCTCACAAAGTCTTCGCACTCCACCACCTCGGTAAAATGCTCACAGGCGTACTGGTCCGCCATGTCCATCAAGTCTGTTCGGTTGTGGCTCTCCGCAAAGGCCCTGACTGCCAGGCAGTTGGAGGGGTGGAAATGTAACTTCATGTACTCGCAGCACGCTCTGGCCACCAGCTCAACCTGGAGGATGCAGGCTGCGTACAAGAGGGGCTGGACATTGTCCACAGTCAGAGTGAGCCGGGAAGAATAGACGAACTTTACCAGGTCTTCTATGGCGTCGCCGTCAAAATCTCTGATCTCAATCAGCGTTTGCTTGGCTTCAGCCATTTCGGAGAGAAACATGGCTCTGAAGTAGGGAATAACACAAGCCAACACCAGCTTGTGGCAAGAGATCAGCTTCGAGCCAACCTGTTCACAACAAACCAAGAAAGACTCAACTTAATATCAAAATCAGCTTCAGATCAGCAATGAGCATGTATTGTATGCAGCAGGGACAAAAATTCCGGACAAGTTTACAAGTATTTGTTTTAATAATGCAATCCTTTGGTCACTTACTTTCAATCTAGGCTAGTTTCTTAAAGTCAGGCAATTTTTTCCTTCCAAATTAGCCATTTATCTTTTATACACATATCTATAACATATATACAACAAACTATTATTTTCTATATTATCTCATATATTTCAGGAGCATTTTGTGAATTAATGAGAATAGCAAACATCATTTAGCACTTATTATATGCCAGACACTATTCTAAGTGTTTTTCATATAATAACTCACTTAATTGAACCAATACCCCTATGAGTAGGTACTATTATTAACCACAACTTTTCAATCAGAAAACTGAAGCAAAGAATAAATCAATCAATATTTAGTATTTATTATAAGCCCAACAGAATTTTTATTTTCTATTTAAATTATTTTGAAATGTTTCATAAAAACAGTTTTAAAACCCCAGTAAAATTCTATCACCTTAATTGTTGAAAAATTAGATTGTTTCCAATAGTGTATCATTATAAACAACAGAGTAGTGCAATTCTTTGTAACTAAATATTTATTGACACTCTCTCTTATTCCCTACAGGAATTTTAATTCCTGTGAGTAGAAATGCTGCTTCAAAGGATAGGTGCAATGTGAACACATACTGCCAAACTGTCCATTTCTGAGCATTCATTGATATGCTGAACTGATAATTAAATTCAAATAATCTCTTTTACATATCTTTTATTTTTGCCAAAGCCAGTATGGGCCACTAAATTTTAAAGCAGGGTTGAAAATTAGAACAATGACATGAGAGTAAACATATATACCATATGGATCAAAGAGCTTAAGTATTTCTTCATCAAAATATACACCTAGCTAAATTTCACACAGAGCTTGAAAAATTAAGTAACGCTTTTCTTTTCAGTATCTTAAGACCCAGAAATACTTAAGGACACTAGGAGTTTAAGGAAAGAGAATATAGGTTGTTATCCACAGTGTAACACTATGCTTCTCGATGTTCTGCACCTGAAACTCAAAGCCTATGCTTTCAGTTTATGGATTTTTGTTGAGTGTCGCCTAATTTTATTCTTCCAGGATGCCCTCAATTCCCACCGCTCTAAGCAGCTGTATGAGCAGGAACAGAAAGCAAAATCTCGTAAAAAGTGGCAAATCTCATGTGGAAAGTGCTGCGTGGATATACATGAATCGCCAAAAAACATTTAATAGCACACTGAAACATAAGAATAAGAAAGCACTTTAAATGTGTAATGGGAAAGAATCAGAACACGGCCTCTTCCACACTGCTTTACCACTTTCCCAATTTATTGAAACTGTTTTATTTTATTTTTTTTTTTAAGCAGAGCAACAGGATCCTATAGACCATAGACTTAAAGTTCACTAAAGACTTTTTCATCCAAGTTTAGATAGACTCTATTTCACTATTAGGTGTAAACAATCTCACTTAACAGATAACAATGAAGTAGAGGTTAAATTACCAGAATAGGGATATACAGTAAAACTAGTATAGCTGGGTAAACCACCAAGAATTCCTGACTTCTAACCTGTATTAACAATAAGCAGAGCCGGGCGCGGTGGCTCATGCCTGTGATCCTAGCACTCTGGGAGGCCGAGACAGGAGGATCGCTCGAGGTCAGGAATTTGAAACCAGCATGAGTAAAAGCAAAACCCCATCTCTACTAAAAATAGAAAGAAATTAATTGGCCAACTAAAAACATATAGAAAAAAATTTAGCCGGGCATGGTGGCGCATGCCTATAGTCCCAGCTACTCGGGAGGCTGAGGCAGGAGGATCGCTTGAGCCCAGGAGTTTGAGGTTGCTGTGAGCTAGGCTGATAGCACAGCACTCACTCTAGCCTGGGCAACAAAGTGAGACTGTCTCAAGAAAAAAAGAAAAAAACAATAAGCAAATTCATCAAGATATTTAAATTCATAAGTGAAGAGCTTATCTGGCCAGTGGCAATTTATTATTAATAATTTCGCTAATAATAACTATTCGTTGTTCTAGGGTTCTAGAACTCTCAGAAGTTAAATTAACTAAGAAATAATGAATATCAACATTAAATTAGTATGATAATTTTATCTTATGCTAACCTTTCTTCCTTTACCCTTCCTTATGTCCCTTCCCCTTCAATAAAAAAATGAGACTAAAATCATTCTGACCATAACATGTAAGTGTAGCACCAAAAATTTGCCTTTTATGGTTACAGGAATCCTCATTTTTCATAGTACACTTAAGAGGTTGAGAAAAGGAAGAAAAAAGGCAGTCTCACCTTTAGCGTGACATCGCAGAGTTCTCCATTTTCATAAAATTGAAGAAGAGAACCATGAAAATCTTTCCAAGCTTCATTTGCTTCAAAAATAAAGGAGTCTTCTCCACCACCATCACTAACTGAAGATCTGTTCTTTGTTTGCTGGTGCTGTTGTTGTCTTTTCCCCTTTGTGAAGTGATTTCTAGCTTGTTTTCCATTCACAGGGTCTGAAGCCATTTGCAAAACTCTTTTAATATATCACTCTTCTCAAACATCCCATTTATTCTTTTTTAAAGGGTGGCGGAAAGGCAGAAGGTTGATGTAGCCACTAAACCTCAGACATTTTCAAAAACCCACTCAAGTGCCATTGTACAGTTTGCTGTGATTGAAATTCAACAACACAGAGACAAACCAAAAGAAAAAAAAAAACTATCGTTAGCAATTATAATTTGCTAATACCATAGATGTAAAATATCAATCGTTATTTTAAAAAGTACAAATAACTATAGTTTTATGATAAATGTCACATAATTCACTTCAGCTAATTATATCAGAAAAGAACTCCTTTAAAATCTAGTAAGAACAATTCAATAGCACATGACTTTTGAGATGTGAAATGCACTATCTTCAAAAAGAGAAGCTATGAGTTAAAAATTTTAAGCTTAGAGACTTTACTCAGTGATGCAAAACAAACACAGAAGGTTATTTTGATTGAATTAGGTTCACCCTAGATTCCAAACTCGGATCATGGCTCCACCATTTACAAACTAACTATATGATCTTGGGCAAATGACAACCTGCTTAAACCTTAGTTATCTCTTCCGTGAAATGGAGAAGCCACTTACAGGAATATTTTGAGGATAAGAGGTATTGTATGGCCAGGAATAGGAACTGGTGCATTGTTATAAAGAGCTTATCACATTTTCACATGGAATGTATTAGTATTTACATATAAAACCAGACTTACCTCATCATCAAAGCGTATTTGATAAATATCCACACCATCAATAGTTCTACACTACAATTCTACTTTGGTAAGAGGAACAGAGGATTTTAAGTTAAAACACATTATTTCGCCACTTACTAGCTGTGTGACTTTTATGAAGGCTTCACTAATCCTCAGGTTCTTCATCTATAAACAGGATACCTATCTACCTACCTCATAACACTCGCCTGAGGATTACATCAAATACAGTAATGGGTTTCCAGGTGCTTGTGAAACTATAAACAATGTTGCAAATATTGGTATTATTAGAGAGTGGAAAGCTCTGAATATGCAGTTTCAGAAAATTATAAACACCTCGACTTTAGCTGTAGTAGGTTCTTTAATCTCATCGTTTCCAGCTTTTGACAAGAACCAATATAGTCAATGTAAGATAATAATTATTAATATCTTTTTTAAGTTTCTGTGGCAGACACACACACAAGTGGCTCCCAATGAATGTCTTCATGTAATTCCCTGTGTACAGGAAGAACCTGTCACTTGCTTCCAATCAATAGGAAGTGAGAAAGTGACAGGATCTTACGTTCTTGATTATGTTATACAACATGATGTCAACAGAGAGGCGGCCCCCCTGCAGAGAGTTCAGGGTAGGATAATGCCCATAAAAATCGCTGATCTTATTAAGATGACAGTAATCCTACAGGTAAAATTTTTGCTGAAATGATTCCCCTTTGTTTTCCATATCCAATTACTTTAATTCAAACTTTCATTTATTTTATTTTTAGACAGAGTCTCACTGTGTTTCCCGGGCTAGTGTGCTGTGGCATCAGCCTTGCTCAGCGCAACCTCAAACTCCTGGGCTCAAGCGATCCTCCTGCCTCAGCCTCCCAAGTGGCTGGGACTACAGGTATGCGCCACCATGCCCGGCTAATTTTTCTATATATTTTTAGTTGTCTAGCTAATTTCGTTCTATTTTTAGTAGAGACAGGTCTCATTCTTGCTCAGGCTGGTCTCGAACTCCTGAGCTCAAACGATCCTCCCACCTTGGCCTCCCAGAGTGCTAGGATGACAGACTTAAGCAATCGAGCCGGCCCAAACTTTCATTATTAAATTAAGCAACCTTCTGCATTAAAATAACTAAAGATGCACTATGTATATTGATTTATCATTTATATATTAAGTGCTCTGCAAACACTAGCATTCATCTCTACTTGATCTTTGAGGTATATACAGACGTCTCAGACTTTTACAAAGTGCAAGCACATTTCTGCTACTTTATTCTATAAATTCTCAAGCATTGATTTAGAACCTTGACTTTTGAAAAGCATTCAGATTTCAAATGAAAATACTGATCAACATCATGGGAGGGGGAAGATCTAAAGGAAAAAGACAACATTATTCAATGGACAGATTTGTTCATTCATAAGTTTGTTGTAGCATCACCTGATCTACCTTTTACTCTCCATGCCTTGTAACTGCTACTGGTGAGTAACTGATCCAGAAACAGAAGCTGGCCTCACAACGTAAAGCCTTATAACCCAGCAACCCATCGCTACACAAGGAAAATAGGGCAGTCACATACAGCTTATTTTCATACTCTAAGAATGAATTCACATCAGCAGAGCCCAGGCATTCGTGACCAGCCTGGGTGATATATATAGCAAGACCTTGTCTCAAAAGAAAGAATGAACGAACTCAAACTCAGAATTATATCCGATTCAGAAATTCCAAAAATGCAAATAAGATTTTCACTGTTATAAATTAAAAACACAGGCCAGGCGAGGTGGCTCACACCTGTAATCCTAGCACTCTGGGAGGCCAAGGCGGGCCGATTGCTCGAGGTCAGGATTTCGAAACCAGCCCGAGCAAGAGGGAGACCCTGTCTCTACTATAAATAGAAAGAAATTAATTGGCCAACTAATATATATATATAGAAAAAAAAATTAGCCGGGCATGGTGGCGCATGCCTGTAGTCCCAGCTACTCGGGAGGCTGAGGCAGGAGGATCGCTTGAGCCCAGGAGTTTGAGGTTGCTGTGAGCTAGGCTGATGCCACGGCACTCACTACTCACTTTAGCCTGTGCAACAAAGCGAGACTCTGTCTCAAAAAAAAAAAATTTAGAAAATAAAAAATAAATAAATTAAAAACACAAATTATAATCTAATCTACATATGCAACTTGTACATTTCTTGAAATCATATACATCCATGTTCTTTCCAAACCAACAATACTGAAAGCCAAAGTGATCATCAATTAGGATTTAATATAACTATGATATATAAGAAATGTTATATAACAGAAATATCACCATCTAGTTTAGAAGATAAAATACTTAATTTCCTTTAGCATTTGGTGTTTTGTAAAGTGTCCCGACCCGCGGGACCTTCTGTTACTCGCGGGGGTCAAGGGGGACCATGCCTGAAAGAGATGGGCGAGAGAAACGAACGAGAGCAAGCAAAGGGTTGTCAAGGTCTGCTTTACTAGGTTTTTCGTTGGTTTTATAAGCAAACAGAAACAAAGAAGTAGGGAGGGGCAGCGGGGGGTTAGGGTTGATCGGTCAAAAACAGTTTAGGGTCAATCAGTTACAAACATCATAGGGTTTATCAATCACAGATAGCCTCTGGAGCCAAGCATGGAGGGTTTATCAGTCACAAACAGCCTCTGGCGCCAAGCCTGGGATATCTTGCAATCTTTCTCAGAATGGCCATTAAGCACCTTCAGACAGCTCAGGGTATTTATGGGTTAAGACCCTTAAAGGCCTCAGTTCCTAACAGTAAAGGAAAAAACAAATGTCCAAATTTTAAAATCAAAGAGCCAAATTATCTTTTAGCATCTTAAATAATATTCTGACATGCGGGAATGTATGAGTGCCATACCATCCCTTCTACTGCCCATCAAGCCTGGGGGGGGAGGGGGAAGTGAGGAGTGACAGTGTCTGCCTAAGGATAAGGGATCAATAAGTGTTGTCACATCCAGGCAGAAGCAGCAGCTCTATTACTCATAGGAAGTTAGTGTATCATAAAGTATCGATTTCTAGTTCTGGAAAAAAAACAGGCATTCAGTGCTTCAAAGCTCTTTCCTTTCCCCAAAAAGGTAATTTTAAAAATAATCTCTAAAATTTCCATTAAAGAAACCTGTCTAAGAAGAATCGCTTGAGCCCAGGAGTCTGAGATTGCTGTGAGTGAGGCTGATGCCACAGCACTCTAGCTGGGGCAACAGAGTGAGACTCTGTCTCAAAAAAAGAAACCTGGCCAGGCATCATGGCTCACGCCTGTAATTCTAGCACTCTGGGAGGCCAAGGGGAGGCCAAGGCGGCGGATGGCTTGAGGTCACGAGTTCAAACCAGCCTGAACACAGAGCGAGACCCCGTTCTACTATAAATAGAAGAAATTATGCAATAATTAATAGAAAAATGAGGCCGGGCATTGGTGGCGCATGCCTGTTAGTCCCAGCTACCTCAGGAAGCTGAGCAGAAGGATCGCTTGGGCCCAGGAGTTTGAGTTGCCTAATGGAGCGAGGCTGATGCCCCAGCAAACCGTCACTTACTCTAGCCTGGGAAACAAAGCGAGACTCAAAAAAAAAAAAAAAAGAAAGAAACCTGCCTAGATTATTGAAGCCAGTGGTTCTTCCAACTTTCAGGGGCCATGAGCCCCTTTTGAACATCTGTTGAAAGCTATGGGTCTTCTCCCCTGAAAAGTAAAAATACACAAGGTTTGCAACCTTTGGAAAACCATTTATAGGCACACTCACAGATGGAGGTTAAGAATCAGCAAGATGCCAGGCACAGTGGCTCCTGCCTGTAATCCTAGCACTTCTGGAGGCGAGGCGGGGTGAGGATTGCTGGAGGTCAGGAGTTGGAGGTTGCTGTGAGCAAGGCTGGCACCACAGCACTCTAACCTGGGCAACAGAGAGAGACTCTGTCTCTCAAAAAAAAAAAAAAAAGAAAAAAAATCAGCAAGATGAAGTAGAAAATTTCCCAAGGTCCCTCCAACGCTCTTCCATAACCCTACTTCTGACTCACAAAAACCAACTGAATCATTCATAACCAAAAAATACACACTTGTACAGCCAACTCTTAAAAAAAAAAAAAAAGGTTGACAGTATCTATATGAGCACTATTCACCAGAAAATAAATTGCACTGGCAGCATTTTAAAAAATAGCATGTGACTAGTCATATCAATGAATGGTATAGTGGATTACAGTTTGCAAAATGCTTCCACATACAATAAACATTAACCCTCACAATTTTGGGAAGATAGAAGCATGTATTATTTTTATCCCTCTCCCACAGCTAAGGAAACAGAGGATCAGAAAATAACTCGCCATGCTCACACAGCCAATGAGTGGAGAGCTGGGGTTCCAATCCGGAATTGCACAGTTCCAGGAGTGCGCTCAGTACACTACTATATTCTAATGCTTCCACAGAAGCCCCTCCGAACAGAGAAAACAGATTTCTTTTAGAAAGTTCAGTGGGCCACATTTTATTGTAGATATATCTTGACAACCATAAATAAAAATTAAAGTATTTAGGCCGGGCGTGGTGGCTCACGCCTGTAATCGCCTATATCTCTCTGAGGCCCGAGGCGGCGCAACTTGCTCAGGTCATGCGAGTCCTCAAAACCAGCCCTGGAGCAAAGGGGAAAGCCCAAGACCACCATCGTCTACTATAAACCCCTACAAAGAACCTTAATCTGCCAACTAATACTGCTAGTAGAAAAATCGAGCCGGGCCATTGGTGACGCCATCGCCCTTGTAGTACCCAGCCCCTACTCGGGACGCCTGAGGCTAGGAGGATCGCTGAACGCCTCAGGATTTGGCAGGTTGCCTGTGAGCGGGCTCCGACCGCCACGCACCCTTCCACTCTAGCCTGGCACAAAAGCGAGCACTCACCCTCTATCTCACACAAAAAAAAAACCAACACCGCAAGAAAAAATTAGTCCCCACTCTTAAGACTACCAAACACCCGTCTGCCTTTTCCTCTTGCCTTCATTGGTTAACATCACTCCAACACTTTTCCCTGAACAACGACCCCCGCGTCAAGCGCTCAACTGTACTCACGCGCCTCGGTGACGCTATTTTCGCAAAAGTTCTGACATCTCTGTGGACCCCAACCCTTACGGGTCCTACAAAAATAAAAAATCACAAAAGAATCTAAGAGAATCCGCTTTCAAAAACATTACAAAAAAAACAAGAAAAGAAAGAACCATCTTGCCACCCATTCCTCATTATTCTACGAAACATTTCTTCTCCTCATCCCCGGCGGGGCTACCTAGTCTCCTTTCCTTTTGTGTTGCCTTTCTACATAAAGACAGAGTCTCGCTTCTTGGCTCTGACCCCAGCGCTAAAGGAAGTGCCATCCGGCTGTCGCCTCGGCTCCACCAGCAACCTCCAACCTGGCTCAAAGCGATCCTCCTGCTCAGCCTCCCGAGTACGCGCTGGGACTACGGCATGTGCCACCCAGGCCCGGCGACGTGATACCTAATACTATAAAAATTACGGCCGGGCATCGGTGGCACAATGCCTGTAACTCCCCCAGCTACGCGGGAGCCCTGAGGCAAAGGATCGGACACTCAGCGCCCAGGAGCGCTTTGAGTGCTCGCTGACGCTAAGGCTTGGCGCCACGCGCACTCACTCTAGCTCCTGTGCAACAAAGCGCACTGACTCTCTCCGGCCTCTCAAAAAAAATAAACAATAAAAAATAAAAATAAAAAATCAATTGCTATATACCTACTTAGTGCATTAATTTTTTTCTATTTATAGTCAGCAACGCCGGGTTCGGCTCTTGCTCAGCGCTGGAGTTTGCGAACCTCCTGACCTCGAGCAACTCGGCATCGCCCGCCTCCGCCTCGCCAGGTCTACGGATACAGGGCATTCAGCCACCAGCTGGCCTTGCTGTACGTTCTTACTATACGAAAAATAAATGAATTTTTTGTTTCTGACGAATTCAACACATACGAACAGCAGAAGTTTAAACATCCGCGATTTTTAGAAAACACACACAAAAGCTACTGTGAAACATTAGTCTTATGAAGATCGTTTCGAAATAATTTCCTTTAGTCTTTTTAAAATGCCAATACACACTTCGATTTTCTACAACTCTCAAAAGTTCTTGATAAAACAAAAAGGTCATTTGTCAAAACCCATAGACTGCACAACTCAAGAGTGAACCCTAAGGTAAGCTATGGAATTTGGGTGTTAATGACACATCAACATAGGTTCAGCAACTGTAACAAATGTCCCACTCTGGTGAGGGAGTTTCTGCAGGGGCAGAGGGTAGTGGGAAATCTTTATACCTTCCCTCAATTTTGCTGTGAACTTAAAATTGCTCTAAAAAATAAATTCTATTTTTTTAAAGTGGGTGGGAGCAAAATTTATCTACCTCGCTTTCTTTTTAATAAATGAGGAGATACTGTTTTTTTGTTTTTGAGCCAGGGTCTTGCTCTGTCTCCCAGGCTACAGTGCAGTGGGTCAGCCTAGCTCACAGCAACCTCAAACTCTTGGGTTCCAACAATCCTCCTGCCTCAGCCTCCCAAGTAGCTGGGACTACAGGTACATACCATCACACTTATCTGATTTTTCTATTTTTTTGTAGAGACAACACGTCTTGGTCTTGCTCAGGCCAGTCTCAAATTCCTGGCCTCAAGCCATCAGCCCACTTCAGCCTTCCAAAGTGCTAGGATTACAGGTGTGAGCCACCTCGCCAGGTGAAAATACTGTTTCTAAAAAATTACTCTCAGCCAGGCGCGGTGGCCCATGCCTGTAATCCTAGCACTCTGGGAGGCCAAGGTGGGAGGATTGTGGCGCAGTGATTGCTTACCAGGCTCAAGAAGATTCCAAGCACAGCCTGCAGCAACGAGCGAGACCCTATCTCTACTAAAAAAAAAAAAAAAGAAGGAAATTAGCTGCACAACTAAAAAGACATAGAAAAAATTAGCCAGCATGGTGGCGCATGCTTGTAGTCCCAGCTACTCAGTAGGCTGAGGCAGAGGATCATTTGAGCCAGGGTTTGAGGTTGCTGTGACGAGCGGCTGACGCCACGGCACTCTAGCCCAGGCAACAGAGCAAGGCTCTGTCTCAAAAAAAAAAATTACTCTGTGAATTGAGTTTCCCGTCAGGATGCAGAACTTGTAATTATTACAGAATGCAGCATCTTAGAAAACAAATTATTACAGAATATAGCATCTTAAAAAACAATGACAGAAATCTAATCAAATGATTAAAAAGTTAGCAGCTTTAAATACAAAAATGAAGCCAAGAGCACATATGTAGTTGAATACAGTATCTTGAGACCTTTTTTTATGCGTATGTATATGCAATTTGGTGTGTTAAAAGCAATGTACAGAATGACTAAAAGTTTGAAGTGGGTCAGTTTGGCTGACAAACTGCAAGAAGGCAGGAGGAAAAGCTGCACCTAAAGCCACCTCCAAGCCTCCAAAGCCACCTAAGGTAGCTAAAGCCACCTCCAAGCAGCTTTCCAGGCGCCAGCAGTATTAATTAGCAGCAGTCCTCTGCTTACCCAAGTGTACCTCGTGGCAGGGCGGGGACTCCAGGGAGGTGCAGGCAGAGGACTTCCTCATAAACAGATAATGAACACCCGGAGCCTAACAAGCATCAATTCACACAGGAGGAAAACACGTGCAACCAGCACCCAGCACACTTGTGTCAACGCAGGTTCTAAGAACTTTCCCAAAGGATCCTCCCAACGTGGCAACATTTAAAGAGTCAAAAACTGAAGTCATGCAATTCAAACAGACTGAAAAGAACCCTGAAAAAAAAAAAAAAATAGTTAAGCGTTCCAGGAAAAGTCACCTGATAAACAGGGCCAAGAGGGAAGAATGCAAAAGCCAGAGGCCCGGGCTGGAAAATGCAAACTAAATTGCCAACTATTATTCCTCCCTGAAGACACCAGCAAGCTCACGGAGCCCAGAACTGAATGCCAGGAGCAGAGAGCTGTCACCCGTGCGGTAACACACCCCACCCCGGCTGCATGGTTTTGAAAGAGGCTGCAGTTTCCGGTGTCACCCGGGAGGCACTCCTGCAGGCAGGCACTCCTGCAGACAGGTGTGCAGAGCCCCGCCAGGGAAGGCACCCCCAGCCCGGCCCGCCAGCACGCGCAAGTCCCGGGCAGGTACCCAGCCCCCAGTACTGGCAAGCCCCGGGGCATGCACCCAGCCCCCAGTACTGGCACGTCTGGGGCAGGTACTGAGCCCCCAGTACTGGCAAGTCCTGGGCAGGCACCGAGCCCCTAGTACTGGCACGTCCCGGGCAGGTACCGAGCCCCCAGTACCGGCAAGTCTCCGGCAGGCACCGAGTCCCTAGTACTGGCAAGTCCCAGGCAGGCACCGAGTCCCTAGTACTGGCAAGTCCCGGGCAGGCACCGAGCCCCTAGTACTGGCACGTCCCAAGCAGGTACCGAGCCCCCAGTACTGGCAAGTCCCGGGCAGGCACCGAACCCCCAGTACTGGCAAGTCCCGGGCAGGCACCGAGCCCCTCTGGCGTCCCGGGCAGAGGTACCAAGCCCCGTACTGGAAGTCCTAAGGCCGACCCGTTACCGGCACGCCCCGGCGCACGGCCCAGCCGGACGCCCGGCAGCACCGGCCGACCGGCAGCCGGCAGGCGGTCTCCTCGCGGGGACGGCAGGACGGCGGGCGAGTCCCGCACGCAGGGAGATAAGGGTGGCTGGGTCTCCCGCCTCCCCGGGGCCGCCCCGGGCCGAACCCGGCGCGGCCCGCGCGCGGCTGCTCTCCTCCCCGGAGACGCCAGAGCTCGGCGGGGCCCTCGGGAACAAGGCAGCGGCGGGTCCGCGCGCCGCGCGTCGGCGGGCTGAGGCGGCGTCGGGCGCGGCTGAGCGGCGCCGGCTGAGCGGCGTCGCCCGGGCTGAGGCGGCGGGCGGGCGCGCACAAAGGGAGCGGGGCGTGAGGGCACCCGGGCGCCCGCTCACCTCCACACTCGTCCCCCGCTCGCTGCTCCCCGGCGGCGCCCACGAACGCAGCCGCCGCGCGGCCCGAAGCCGGCGGCGCGCGCGAGCACCGCAGACGGCGGCCCGCCGACCCCGCGGCCGCTCCGTCGGTTTTCGTCGCCGCGCGGGGGGCGGGGCGGGGGCGGGGCGAGGGGCGCGTGCGCGCCGCGGCCCGCGCACGGCACTCTGGGAGTTGTAGTTTTCCGTCCCTCCTCCCCGAGTCCAGCCCAGGTCCTGGCCACCGCGGGTCCCCCCAGACTGGGCGGCCGAGGCCTCAGGGGACTGGGAGGTACCGCCCTGCCGGGGGGGAAAGCAGACGAGGGCCTCTCGGACGGCCTTGAAGGAGATTTTTAAACAGGACACCGCATAAACACCTCTGGAGTGATCCATTGCTTCACTTCCGTGCAGCTGCAAAATTTAGTTTCTCTGAATGCCCCCCAATCCCCTCCTGCGGTTGTGAGTGTTCCCATGGCTTATGTCTTTAAAAAAGAAAAAAAAAATAGAAGGGGGAGGAAAAGCTTGAATTTATTCCCATGTCACTTTCACCACTTGCTCTACAAAAAGTGTGCAAAGCAACTTGTGTTTATAAACACATACTCTGCAGTTTATAACCCCAAGGAAGCAGTTGCTGCTAAAAAGCCATTGCAAATAAAAACGATGCTGGAATAAACCAATTTTTTTTTTCTATAACATCAATAAAGTGGAATGTGGGAGAGGGAGGAGATCAAGAGAGAGCAAAGAAACATCTTATGCAAAAACTCCACAATGACTATTTGAATTTGAAATTTCATTGCTAGAAAAAAAAAATCACTTTTTTTGTTTTACATAGAAGTAATAGTTAATATTTCCAAATATTTTTCTTTAGAGCATTCGTATCTTGCACATTTCATGCAAATGTCCTTGGAAAAAACAGAGCAAGATCAGTTTTGAAGAAGCGTGCATTAAAAGGCATAAAATTTGTCTGGGACATGTCGTTGCTAGGGTTCAGACACTGATAACTCAAAAAATATAAAGCTTAGACATCCTGGACTAAGAGAGAGCCTCAGGGTCTCTCTGACTTTCCCCACCCCCACTCCTATCTCCAAGTCCTCTGTCTCTCCCAAAGCACAGGGTGAAGTTTTCTGAAGTTCTCTTATCCACCTAAGACACCAGACCTGCCAAAGAAGAGCACAGTTGCCTTCCCTGAGTTTTCATTAACTTAACTCATTGCGGGAAGAGAGACTGAAGTCTGTTAACACACTGAGAGAAAGTTTTGTCACAAACCATTGTCTGCTGTGGGCCCAACAGACTTTGTCCCAGGCCATTGTGTGTTCTCCACATCCATTCATTTCCCCCTGAAAATCATTTGCTATCCCTTAAATTGCCGTGTTTCCCCCAGCTTCTTTCCACTATGAAGGGAAATACACACATCTGTGCCCTATTGGGTCATCATTCTCCTGTGATCGGGTGATTCCCTCGTGTTACGCACGTGAAAATAAATTGTGCATGTCTTTTCTCCTATTAATCTGCCATCTGTCAGTTGATTACTTTCAGCAAACCTTCATAGGGCAAAGGGGAAGCTTTCCCTTCGCCTCTACATAGTGTAATACATATTTCATAAGACCATGTTCTAAGAGAAAAATTTTAGAGTTTCAACTTTTTAATCAGGTGTGAAAGATCTCCTAAAAATGCTTGTGGAGCAGAATTACACTTTTTTTCTCTGCTAATTGGCATATACAAAACAATAGGCTACTTGTAAGTTACTAAGAAATCGAATTTCAATATGATTGTCATTTATTCATTCAAGAATATTTGCTGAGCACCTACTATATGCCACACAAGGAGCCATGAACTGGGAAATATACAGTAACCAAAACTGAATGGTCTCTGCTTTCATGGATATTTAACATCTACTTAGGGAGCGAACTAAACAGACTAAACAGGTGATGAAAAGGTATCCATGGTGTGGCCAAGGTTGTGGGGAGCACCTGAGATACACCCAATCTAGAACTTTCTGTTGGGGAAGAGAAGTCTGGCAAAAATTCTAAAAATTAAATGAAATGGTCAAACCAAATAGCAATAAACTGGGGGTGGGGGGTGGGGAATGTCTTCCCAAACAAGTTATACGAATGGCCGAGACTCAATGAAAAGATACTCAACACCATTAGTTACCAGGGAAATTCAAATTAAACCACAATGTGCTTTCTCTATCATATCCAGTAAAATGCCCCAAATTAGAAGACAGATAAAACTAAATGTCGGAGAGACTGTACAGCAAATGAAAGTCTCATACATTGCTGGTGAGAGTGTAAAGTTGAACAATTATTTTGGATAACCATCAATTTTTTATAAAGCTAAATACACACTTACTATATGGCCTATTAATTCCACTTTTAGATATTTATCCAAGAGAAATTAAAATATATGTCAACAGAAAGACTTGTAGAGGAATGTTCATAACATTTTTATTAACAATATAGTCCTAAACTGAAAACAACCTGATTGTCTATCAAAAAATGAATAGGTAAACACATCATGGTATAGTTACACAATTGTATGCTACTTTGCAGTAAAAACAAATGACACATTTAAAATGTGTGTACTTAACTATAAGTAAATTGTACCTCAATAAAATTAAGATAAAAGAGAAAGAAAATGTCTTCCCCTTAAAAGTGTTATATTCGTAACAATGCTTTAAAATAATTATTTTAAAAATACATACAGTACCTTAACAAAACAGGGCATATGTTCAACTAAAATAAAAGAACATACATTTCCTGGATCCAACAGAGTATCTTAGCTTTTACTCATTTCTTCTTAGGTCCATTTGAGGATAAACAAGACTAGCCCATAATAAGTAAGGATCTTAGAGATTCTTTCCCTTCCCCTAACATGCCATAAATTAAAACTGGAAAGGATCTAATAATATCTGGTTGGCTCATTGCCTGATTGTACTTTACTCAGAATGAACTGCAATATTTTAACCTGGTTCAACATTTCCATTTTAAGTCTATATCTCTAATCCTGGAATAAAAGGCTTTACAATCTCCAAAAGAATGTCGGATATGGACTGCAGAGGGATTTGGAAAGATTAATGAAGAGGGCAATTTTATCTTCATTTGCTAGAGAAGCAAAGCTCACAGCCAGAGGGTAGGTGCTTAAAGACAGAACAGCTGAGAATCTTTGCTTATAAATTGTCCTTAAAAAGCCTGAACACTGGGCCGGGCGTGGTGGCTCACGCCTGTAATCCTAGCACTCTGGGAGGCCGAGGCAGGAGGATCGCTCAAGGTCACGAGTTGGAAACCAGCCTGAGCAAGAGCGAGACCCCGTCTCTACTAAAAAAAAAAAAGAAAAAAAAGAAAAAGAAATGAATTGGCCAACTAAAAATATATAGAAAAAATTAGCCGGGCATGGTGGCACATGCCTGTAGTCCCAGCTACTTGGGAGGCTGAGGCAGGAGGATCGCTGGAGCCCAGGAGTTGGAGGTTGCTATGAGTGAGGCTGACCCCACAGCACTCTAGCCCGGGCAACAGAGTGAGACTTTGTCTCAAAAAAAAAAAAAAAAAAAAAAAAAGAAAGAAAAGAAAAGCAGAGGACTTTATATATAGGTGCTTAATAAAGACATGGGCTATAAACGAATGCATATCAACTTTGTACAGTAAAGAAAGGTCTAGCAAATATTTTCTGTCAAGGGCCACACAGTAAATATTTTAGGGTTTTGGGCCACAAAGTCTCCGTTGCAACCACTCAACTCTGCTTCCTAAAGGACAACAGCCAGGTCTCACTGGTGGCCCCAGTGCATCTATATAAGACAGAATTTGAGTTAAAAATTTGAATGAACAGAGTAGGGGGGCAGCTCTGGGCTGGAAGACATTACTCGAAGATACATTTACATAGCAGGCACACTGCTATTTTTCTACTGACTATTTTGGGTAGTTTGGGGGTGGATCTGTAGGTGGAGCTAAAACAGAAAGCATCCTTTGCATGGCCACTGCTAGTTTGGTTTTGTGCACTAAATTTTTTTTTTTTTTAATTACTAGTATTGATAAGTTTTAAAGAGCTGTTATTAATCTGGGTTTGGTTTTGTTTTTTTTTTTCCCCCCATCTTTAGCATTTCACTTTTATTACTCCCTCTTGCCCAAGTCAAATCCCTCTCCGTTTCCCAAGAGCCTGCCCGGATAGGGTTGCGTTCTCAGGCTGTGTGTCTTGGAAACTGGCATTCTCTCCGGAGCAGTATGGTAAATGACAGAATGAGAACAATTTTCACCTCCACTCCTGCCATACTCAAGACTTGTGAATTTAGTTACCAGAAAAACACATTTAGAGGAACTTTCTTCAGTAACTATTTTTGAAATACGTGCAATATTCTTCTGAGCAAAACTGTACCCGTATGTGTGGAAGGAACTGGAACAGTGAAGCAAATGTAATTGTATTTCAATTCTGATATGTTATTCCAAATGTACAGTCTCTATGAAAAAGTGCTTCTTTCATTAAGCTATAGCTCTGTATTACATTAACTTTCTAATATAATGTTCACATTTTCATAATGGAATCTATCTCTGAAAAGTTTATTTTTATTTTTTTGGAGACAGAGTCTCACTCTGTTCCCAGGATAGAGTGCCGTGGCATCAGCCTAGCTCACAGCAACCTCCAACTCCTGGGCTCAACCATCCTCCTGCCTCAGCCTCCCCAGTAGCTGGGACTACAGGCATGCGCCACCATGCCCGCCTAATTTTTTCTATATATATTAGTTGGCCAATTAATTTCTTTCTATTTTTAGTAGAGACGGGGTCTCGCTCTTGCTCAGGCTGGTTTCGAACTCCTGACCTCGAGCAATCCTCCTGCCTCGGCCTCCCAGAGTGCTAGAATGACAGGCGTGAGCCACTGCACCCGGCCAGAACCTCAGTATTTTTGGAGAGATGAGTATGTGCTCATCTGAAAGATTTTTTTTCAGTTAGGCTAAGTTCTAGCCATGAGATATAAGGGCAAGTGTTACAGGGAATTTGGGGATAGCTGCTTAAAGAGAATTGATCCAGTTGGGGAGTATCTCTCTCATCCTTCTTCTTTC